AAAACACTATCACACACAATAAACTCCAGAGAAAGGCATTTCTGCCTGATTTTCCAGCTTTTATGTGTCTGGGTTTCTCAGAGACTGCTGATGCCTTTCTTTCTCTTAAATTTCTTACCTGCCTTTTATGACTTCAAAATATCTACTGAAAGATGTCAGCCATGAGCCAACAAGGCCCTACGTACACAGAAAGCAATTCTCAGTGAAGTGACACATTCTCTAACAGAACATGCAGTCCCTGGTTTTTTTTGTCTGGCCTTTGATATTATCTAGTATCTGCTAAGCTCCTTTCCCTCTCCTTAAAGTTTTGTTTTTTTTTAAATCAGAGATTGAACGCAGGACCTCGCATTTGCCTGGCAGGCACTTAAGCTGCTGAGCTATCTGCCCAGCCGTCCTCTCCAATTTTTAAGTGTTGAACTCCACTATCTCCACTATTATCATCCAAACAATACAGCTTTAGAACTTGCTGTATATAAATATTCAAACTTATTTTACTTTTGCGAGTTATGTCAATAGTTGGTCTATGTGATGCTTTGGTTACTTTTCCTGTTTTATGGCTCTTTATTCCCCTTAGAAGATCTTAAAATTACTTTGACTTTTCATGTGATATTTTAGGGGGAAAGCTATTAATTCAACATCGAACATTATGACAGACTGTGAAACTTCTCAGAACACAGTCAAACCAGATAACTGTCAAACAAAATAATTTCAATTGTAAATAGTCTTCTGACTGTTATTTCTTGGCTTTTGTTTCTCATGAGATGTCTCCCTGTGATACTGTAGTTGTCAAGGCCAACCTGCCCTACTGCCCCTGAGAGGCATGTAGACTATTACCTGAGTTATCTCTTGCCACTCTTAGGTTTTTGTCTTCGTGGTTCATTACTAGAACACTTTAAACCTTTTTAGGTTTTCTTTCTCCTAGGAATTCACAAAAGAAAATCTCTGTGAGGTTATTTTTGACCTTTAAAATGTCTTCAATCACCACACTTACATGATAGTTTAGCTAGGTATCAAATTCAGACTTTGAGCTACTGGCTTTCATGTCAATTTGGAAAACTCTGATGCTACTTTTGTTCTTAACACATCATGTGTGCCCACTGGGAAAGCATGAAGACAGTCACCACTACTACAGATCATGCGGACAAGTTTCCCACATTTGGTGGAATCACAGGGTCAGCACATCCAGACTGCAATGGATAGCGCTTGCCCTGGGAAAACCACCTTTGTGGTCGTGGTATCTCCCCTGCCAGGTAAGTATATATAACCTCCTCTTTTATTATTTTAGGGAAGGGTCTATAGGGTGTTCAGGGTATCACTACTAGATCGGACTCTAGTGCTCTGCCTATTTACAGACTCCCAGAAGCTGGGATTACAGGCGTGTGCCACCACTCCCAGTCTCAATTGCTGTCTAAGCCCTCCCTGGGGGTGGGGCCAACAGGGCAGGCTGGGAGTTGAACCACCAGCCCCCAGGCCTGCTTTTAGGTGCTTTAATCTGCTTAGCTATTTGGCCAGGCCTATAACCTCTTTTTAACTTGAACTTTATTTTTAATTTCTGTTAATCTGTACAGCGAGGACATGGGAATCTCTATGTTTTATTCACCCTTTCTAGCTTGAAGTTTTGCTTTGAACTTTGAATGGTAAGCAGGAGGAAAACAGGAAAAAAAATAAATTGATTATAGGAAACCTCTCCATGTTTAAATAGCATGAGGTCCCAGGACTGAATATGATGATGAGAGATGAAAACTTAATGTAACTCTTGCTTAGCTGACATTTGGTAGAATTAATGTCTGTATGATTATACGATTTGTCTTTACATCACTATGCGGTATCTTCTGATGTTGTATCATCTCTACTACCTTCATATATCCTTAGGGCATATATACATGTCCTCCTGTTCTTTAAGCTGAAGGGTGCATATCCGCTCCTGCTCAAGGATTGGATCCTGATATGGATGATGTCTAGCTGTGCCCCCAAAGCCTCAGGCAGTCATGGGGTAGGTTCCTAGAATTTGTGATTAATTCATGATCCAATGCTGGCGTTATGGGTGTGAGTGCTACACCCGCCCTGGGGCGGGCTGCCCTCATTCCGTATAACAGAAGGAAAGAGGCTTGCTTTCTGCTGCTCCTGCCTTTTGTTCTTGCTGTTTTCCACCCATGAACTACTGCCCTCCGCCGTGTACCACTCTGCCTTGGAGCCAGCTGAGCGTGCACTGGAACCCCCTCAAACTGTGAGCTAGATAAACCTGTCCTTCCTTAATTTTGGGTGTCAGGTATTTTGATGCAGCAACAAGACAAAAGTAACGGAGACAGTTCCAAATCGGCCATTTTGTATATGCACTTTTAATTAATGTTCTCCACTTTGTATCTTACATTCTGTCTTGCTTCTAAGTCTGATGCTATCACTGACGGCTCCATTTTGTACCTACACACCTGACTTCTTTCTCTGAAACCACTGTTTCCTCTCCACTGAACTTCTGATAATATGTGTGCTTTTTCTTTACTTGGGCCACATCTTGACTTTGTAAATTCTAAATACAACTTCTTTCTACTCAAATTCCCTGGCAAGGAGCAGCTCTTCTATGTGTTCTTGTTACTGGGGGTGGAAACAGAAACCTCGAGGCTCTTGGTCATGTCTTTCTTTGTTGCCCCTCTTGCCAGTGTAAGAAAGAGTTTTCTCCCTCTCTGGCCTTCACAGTAGCTAATGTGGTAACATTGCACCAACTAGAAATAAAAATTATATTGAAACTCTATCTATTACCAGTGACAATGAGGTGAAAGAAACTCCTAGACATTTTGCCATAAATAATTGGCATCTCTCAGGTTAACATCTCTTATTGGACTCCACAAGTGAAATACGGACTCTCTATCTTTAAGTTTCCTTTCCTCCTTTAGCTTTGGGTGCTGAATGTCTTGTCTAAGCAACAAAAGAAAAGTAACTAAGACACTCCTCTTGAAAGAAAGAGAGAAAGAAAAGAAAAAAAGAAAGAAAGAAGAAAGAAAGGCAGCCAAGAAGGAAGAAAGGAAGGAAGACAAAATGATATTACCTGATTCTCTACTCTGAACCCACTCTTCTGGGTAATCCTGAAACTGCTGACCACTCAGAATGATCAAGGTTAGGCTGAATCACTGTTTCAATCCTCTCCTCAGAGAAACTTCATTTTATCTCCAGTATCTGGGACTTCACTCTATTTATATAAAATTTCCAGACTTTTTTTCCAAGTCTGGCCAAATCACAGAATTTCCCTGATTTTCTTCTTTTCTTCTACTTACAGTCTGCCACCAAAGCCTGTAAAGGATTTCATACTTTTTAAATTTATGTACCTTGCAAATATTTTATTTTATTTTACTTTTTGAAAATTTGTTAACTTTTTTTTTTTTTTTTTTTTTTTTTT